AGGAAAATTGGAACATGCATTCAAATTACTGTAGGAAAATTCGAAAAGCAATCTTTACTCATTTAAATCATATAGCTAAGGTAGGGTTGTAAACAAAAGATTGTAGTTGTTTTTGACGCAACAGCCACACTGTCAAAACAGAATCAGAGAGATCATGAGAGCCTTACTTTGTTTGTAGACAGCCTGCCGAGGATGGCATTGTTCAGATTATTTAGCTTGACTTAAAACATGATCATTAGTGTTTTTCAAAAGTTGTAAGTAATGAAAGAAGCAGTAAGACTGTGCGTGCTGTTCCTGCGTCTTCCTCTGTCACATGTCAATACTTTCATTTTCAACTCAACCCATCCATCTACCAAAAAAACATTTAAGGGTGACTGTGGCCCAGGAACTGAGCTAAATTAAGTTAGGCGGTGAAACCCTTCTGGCTTGGACCACCATTTCAGTATGGGCCACAATGTGCGTAGTTTAGCCATAATGGGTCACATTTCTTTCATCAGGTTGGCGTCAACTGATTTTTTTTCCTTGGGCAATGATTATTTCGTTTACATATGCAACACACTCAGTGTCTTCTGCTTTCAAGTGTTTTAAGTAATCAAATGACAGCCTGGGGGTTTAAGTGCTAAAAGACCCCCCCCCTTCAACACTTGCAATGGTGCTCTCTCCGGGAAGATATGGAATGGGCGGGTAAAAGAAAATTGACAAGGTCTGTCCACAGGAAGCTGATGTGTCGCATGGGCTTCTGGGGCAAGGCGTCAGTGAGTACTGTTTGTATTAAAATACTGTAGCATGGGGCACAGACATCCCATGGTGTGAGATTCGGGCGGGGTTTGCGGGTCTCCTTCCTCCTGCAGAAGCCCTGGAGTTTTATTTGGGGGCTGAGTTTTTCCCAGGGAGGTAGGTGATATAGATACCCATTGTGGAAATGGGCCAAGGCTTTTGACCTTAACTTAACAGCTGTCTGACTATGTCATCGGGATGTTCTCCTGTAAAATGGGGAGGGCAGCACCAACTGTTAAAAGATTTTTTGGCTCAGGCTACAGGCACAGAGGCAAGGGGGTGAAGGATGATGGGTGGAGATGCTGCAGGGAGCAGCGGCCACAGTCTGCTTAGTCTGTTTTGTCTCCTTGGATTTGTGACTTAACTATTTGAGCTTTAAATGCCCTGTCCCTAATGGGTCAAGGAAACATGCTGCCCCAAGTGGTGGGAGGCAAGGTGACAGAAAGGCCATCTGCAGGCCAGGCCTTTGTGTTCCTCTTCTGATAGGTGTTCTCCATCCAAATGGTAGGTCCTGATTGAAGGCTTCCTGCCCTGAGATGCCCTCCAGGTGAAAACACACACTGCCTTTCAGATCAGCCGAGATGTGCCTTTAAGAGAACCCACCTCTGGTCAGGAACAACAGACTCAACATGTCCTTGCTGCTTTTTATTATGATATTGCAAGTCAGGACAGTGTTCTAAGAGGTCTTGCATAGAGCAACGTCAGAATGCGCTCTCAGATTAATGAGTTAGTCGAGGCATTTTCAGTGACCGATTTGAGGGAAATAATTTGTTCTGGTCCTGACTGAGGATCTCACGTCTGTGTTCCCACATGAAACAATGCATTATGTCTTTCTGTGTTCTTGAGTGCTGGTTTGTGCTCCCAGGTGCTGCATAAGGGACCCTGTGAGTGACACAGTGATGACAGGAGTCACAGCAAGTAGAGTGGTAAGGGAAGGAGATGGGGGTGCTGAGAGAGAGGACAGTGCCTGCTAATCTTTCAGTTATTCATTCTGTAGTCATCTTGCCTGGTCATTTAGCAATGACCATGGGCACTGTGTCTGGATTCTTGAAGGAAGGAACAGGAAGGCGATTTGTGCCTCTGGGTGGCTTAGCCATGAGGAGAGAGATAGTGTAGAACCCTGGGGTTGCCTTTGCTTTTATTGTCATTATTGTTACCATCATTACTTTAATTAGCATATAAAGGAAGAGGTTTCCTTATTACACTTCACATACACTCTGTTTTGGTGAATCCTCCCTCAGTCACTCTAGTCACTCATCTCCCTTCCCCACCCCAGATTCCGCCCTTTCACTCCAGGTATGTCCCTTCCATTGCGATGTCGCGTATCTGCTTGTCTTAGGTAGGGTTTCTATTGCTGAGAAGGGACACCATGACCACAGCAACTCTTACAAAGGAAAACATTTCACTGGGGCAGCTCCCTTACTGTTCAGAGGTTCAGTCCATTCACATCATGGGCTGGGAGCATGGCCGTGTGCAGGCAGACATGGTGCTGGCTACATCTTGATCAGAGGGCAGCAGGAAGTGCACTGAGTGTCACACTGAGTGGAGCTTGAGCAAAAGAGACTACCTCAAAGCCTGTAACCACAGTGATACACTTCCCCCAAAAGGCCACGCCTTCTTCAAAAACAGCCACACCTCCTAATAGTTCCACTCTCTTTGGGGGTCATTTTCTTTCAAACCACCACAGTGCTATAACCCCCCCAAAACACACACATACACACACACACTCACTCACACACATACATACACACAGTCACACACACGTACACACTCACTCACACACACATACACACTCATGCACATACACATACTCACTCATACACACTCACACACACATACACATACATACTCACACACACACACTCACTCACACATACACACATACATACACACACATACACATACATACTCACATACACATACACACACTTTCACACACACACACACACACATACACACACACTGCACAGGTTCCTTAAACCTTCCTGCTCCTCACCCATGGTTCCCTTTCTCACGTCATTACTGACACCCACACTCATTCCCAGTAATCCCACACATAGAAGAATTAGAAACAAGGATCCTCATAGAAAGAAAGAACACACAGCATTTGTGTTTTTGTGTCTAGATTGGTTTGCTTAGTAAAATGACTCCCAGATCCATCTATTTTCCTGCAGGTTTCATTTTTCTTCGTGAAAAAATAAAATCCTGTTGCGTTTGTGTACCATATTTACATTACCCACTCTTCTACTGATGGACATCCAAGGTGTTCCATTTTCTTGGTAGTGTGCATACAGCAGCCTTAAACATGGATGTGCAGGTAGGTGTCTCTGTGGTGGGATATGGAGAAGGATGGAGGTTCTCCTGGAGGAGGTTCAGCTGCGCCAGAGACTCCAGAATTTGGTGACAGAATCAGCCTAGAGGAACCATAGAGACTTCCCTGAGGAGGAAAAATTAGACCACATCCTGAACACAAGAAACAAAAGATAAAGACCATGCCAGGCTGGGGAAGTCACTCCTTCAGTGACTAGGAGCTAAGGCGGAGGGAAGTTAGGTCACAGAAACACCCAGCTCTGTGGAATCCAGGGGAGAGAAGCATCACCTTTCTCAAAAGGATAAAAGGGGCGTGTGAAGGAGGACATGGCATTTAAAGCAGGACCATGGTGTTTTCCCAGGGGAGCTTGGAGCTAGAGCGCAGATGCAGCCTGAGTGACGGCCTTGAGGTAAGAAAGTTCAAGAGGGTTTTAGAGGCTGTGGAGGAGTCAAGTGCGCTTAGCTGCAGGCTGCTTGCAGTAGGCCTGGAAGGTCAGGTGGAGTCAGATGGTGGAGAGAGCTGAATGCTCAGAGCTCTGAACCCGCTCCGTCCTTGGGCAGGAGGCCCTGGTGTTTTACTTTGGGGGGATAAAGGCCCACTCAATTTAATTCTGCCAATATTCCCTGAGATCTTGCTCTGAGTCAGGTACTCTAGACAGGGTCTAGGGACATGGAAAACACAATAAATGTTTATTGCACCCTTGAGTCTCTGTGTAAAAGCCCAATTGCCTGGGCAAGGAACATGGCTCAGTGAGTAAGAGGGCCTGCTGTACAGCACAGGACCTGATTTTAGATCTCCAGCACCTACGTTAAAAACCATGGTGTTGTAAGAGTCTGCAGTCTGCAACCTCAGCTCTGTGGGAAGTGGAGTGGAGACAGGGGATTACCAGCTTGTTGGCCATTAGCGGGGTTCCATATTCAGAGAGACACCCTGTTTCACAGGAGTAAGGCAGAGAGTGATAGGCGGCACACCATTTTCCTCTTCTGTTCTCTGAACATGCAACCCACCAATCCCACACATAACACACACACACACACACACTCACTCACTCACTAAATGCCCATCTATACACGAGTCAGTGCCTGTCTGTGTCAGTCTTTATCCAAGTCTAAAGAGACACCTGAATCCATCCCTCGGCATCTCTGTCTCTGCATCCGAATTCAGATTTACGTTTGGATTGAGCTTTCCCATAGCAGTGCATACCGTGTGTATCAAAGCAGGGATGGTAAGACCAGGCAGAGAGCAAAGGTCAGACATTCACTCACTAACGTTAGAGGGCTGTGCTACTTCAGATGATGTTTGGCTTACTTGGGAATGGAGAGGGCTGTGCAGCGTAGCACAAAGAGACTGAGAAACTTCTTGAGTTTGAACCAAGACACCGTTGAGAACTTTCCTTCGAGGGACCTTGTCCAATTCTTCTTCCCGTAGCTTCTTCTCTCCCTCCGTTAGGCAGGGATCATAACATTAACTCTGAAGGGTGGCCGAGAAAATGAAGGTGATGTGTTGGAATGTGTGTGGTTGGCATCATCCTTTGGCACTGCCATGTGCGATAAAGACCTGCTATGGTTTTGATTTGCCACATCCTGCTCAGGGAAGAGTAGTAATTTTTGTAGCTCTGGTGGGGACAGGCTTCTTCCATTCCAGTAATGGAAGTGGCTCCCAGGCAGGGGATCATGATAGAGGCTTTGATTAATTCTGGCCTTTGAAGTGCATGATCTGTTTCCCAGGTAAGGGGAGCAAACACTCCCGGCTTGGCTGGCAGAGTCAGTCTCGCGCTGGGAGGCTCTACCAGGCTTTGCTTTTCCCATTCCACCAATGAACGCGCCAGCTCAGAGCCAGGAAGAGGCTCTGGCAGCAATCGGAGCTGCAGCTGTGACCAGGCCAGGTTGCCCCATCTCCAGCAAACATTTACAGTGGCTCGGTGCCTGCCGCTCCTGCCCTGACACACAACAAGCTGAGAGCCTGGCCAGCCCGTGGCAGCCAAGACAATGTTGCCAGCATGGCAGTGGGGAGCTGCAAAAAGGCCCTGATCCAGAGAGGGTCTCATTGGAGCTGTCGGCAGTCTTGCCCAGCGGCTCCCCGGTGGAGTCAAGGCTCTCCCTCCCACCTGAGGGAGCCATGTTGTGACCCATTCCCGGCTCTTCCTGGTTGGCGCAGCCCTCAAAGGCAGCAGAGTGATGTAGCTAAGAAGAAGGAAACCAGGTACACTAAGGAATCCTGGCAGGGAGGTTCCCAGTGGCAGAATGCTGGGGGTGGGGGTGGGGGAGTGGATTCTTGTTGATCCGAGAGAAAAGGTACCTTTGTGATCATTTGAATCTGTTAGCTGTGGTGACGGTACAGATTTAACAACCAGGAATTGGAAGGAAGGTAGAGAAGACGGAAAGGTGAAAGAGAAAAGGTAAGAGAGGGAGAGAAACCTTTAATTTGTTGGTTTTGATGATTTTCTTATCCCTTTAAAGTTAGTATACAAAGTCATGGGCTTCATTATGGCATTTCCATACAAATGTGTCATTATACTTTGTCCAATATCTCTCTTACAATGATCACACACACACACACACACACACACACACACACACACACACACACACACACACGCCACCGGGATATGAAGTTGGGAGGGAGAAGGGGTGAGGATCCTAGGAGGAGTTAGAGGAAGATAATAGTAGATGGATATGATCAATAAACATTGTGTAGCTATATAAGGCATTCAAATAACTGAAAAATATTATGTAGGAATCATTCATCACAGAAAATGTCAAGGCAGAAACACAGTCACTGAAGCAAAGTTGAGAGGAGATGTAGCCTTACCCACCATGGTGAACTGTTTCTACTACAGACAGACACAGAGATGAACAACCTTGAGAGCATGGAGAATAGCCAAGGATGACGGGAATACCAGGAAAGGGGGACTGTGGAGAGTTACATTATGAGACCCTGGGGGTTAGGACATCAGAGAAATGTTTTCTTAAGTTGGATTACAGTTCAGCCTGAAACAACTTCAGACCTTCCAACCAGCCTTCAATATAATTTCATAAACTATAAGTTTATGTAATTTAACACTTAATAGTTTATTTAGTTTAGTTTAACAATGATTCCTTTTTTTGTTGTTTTTAGTGGAGAGGATGAAGAATGTCTTTGTTTCATCTTCCCTGGTGTCTGATATATTCACAGTGCTATGCGGCCACCACCTCTGTGTCATTCCGAGTCATTTCTGTCATGCCAAATTAAACCCCAATATCAGTCTCCTAGGGCAAGACTGTAACAAAAGACCAGAGACCAGATAGATGAAACAGAAGAAATTTATTTTCCTGTGGTTTTGGAGGCAAGGTCAATGTATCAATGGTTGGTTTCTTCAGAGGAAGACTATGAGGAAGACATCTTCCAGGTTCCTGTGTGTAGTTGGGTGTCTTCTGCCTTCCTTCCCGTGGTCTTTGCTGTGTGCACAGTTCCTCCTGAGCCTCATCATACTGGACCAGAGAACATTCTTTTAACTTGATCACCTCTTTTAGGACCCTGTCTCCACGTTTTATATTATGGGGATTGACCTGATTGTTTTACTGAGTCTGGTAGCATTTCAGCCCATAAGAATTCCACACTCGGATCACAGTTGCTCTCTGTCCCCCTTGTTCTGCCTCTACAGTCCCACTGCTCTGGCTGCTTCGTAACAATGAAATCATGTAATCCATAACTTTTTGTACCTGGTTTCTTTCACTGAGTAATGGCTTCATTTCCATGAGAGTGTGCAGCTCATGGGAATCTTATTAGTTGTTTATGTCGTAATTTCAATAAAAAAAAACCAGTCTAAAGAGCTACCAAGAGCAACTGCTCCAAAGTTATAGAAAATTCTCTTGGGACCCACAAAACTGATCGATACTTGGCAAATAGTTTCTAAAACCAGAGGCAAGAGAACTGATTAAGACTCCACAGAAATAAGTGGGAACAAGGTGGTTTTAGTGGGACAAGTGTGGAGAGAGGGGAGCAGATTAAGATGGTATTTCATCAGAGTGATTGGAAAATGTGAGCAACTCTCAAGTGCCTAAACACTCCTTTTGGAAACATATGAAAGCATGGTGTGAAGATGATAAAACTCACCCATTATATTGCATGTCAGTTGTAAATCCAGCAAATGTGTATTTCATCAAAGCACATCCACTGTGCAAGGAATAATTTTACTGTTACTTTTCATTTAATTGTGCGTGTGTGTGTGACATATGCCTGTGCAAGTGTTCATGAATCTGTATGTGTGCATGTGATGATGAGTGTGTGTGTGGTATATGTGTGTGCATGTGTTCATGAACTTGTGTGTGTGCATTTGTGTGTGCACAAGAGTGTGTGTGTGTGACATATGTCTGTGAAAGTGTTCATGAATCTGTATGTGTGCATGTGATGATGAGTGTGTGTGTGGTATATGTGTGTGCATGTGTTCATGAACTTGTGTGTGTGCATTTGTGTGTGCACAAGCGTGTGTGTGCGTGTGTGTGCACGTGCGCATGCATATGGAGGGTAGAGGCTGACCTTAGATATCATGCTCAATCAAGCCTTACCTTATGTTGTCAACTGAGTCTGAACACAGAAGTCACTGACTCTGGGATGCTGGCTTGTTCTCCCCGTCTCCAGTTCCCCAACTCTGGGGTGACAAGATTGTGTTGCAGTGCCTGGCTTTTTACAAGTGTGTTGGGGGATCGTCACTCCCAAAGCTTTTGCAGCAAGAACTTTTCACACTGAGTCATCTCCCACAGGATTGCCTTTAGAAAGTTAATACATCCAAGTGCCACCACCTCATGTCACCAAATACCATATTACAGGGACCCTGGAGACTTTTCTTGCCCTGTCCTATCAAATAATTAACAGTTTGGACCTTTTTATTAGCTTTATCAAAAGAGAATCAATTTGTCCTCTGAGATTTACTTTCCTCATATTTTGTGAAAATAGTCAATCCATATCGTTAGCTGTTGGAGGCACTGCCCATCATTTTGCTACTGTTCTATTGGGTGAGTGTACTGCATGCCACTACTCAGTTCTATTACTAGGTATGGGGTTTGTGCAAGGTTTTGATATTATAACAAAGTGACTGTGAATGTTCTTGGCTTTGTCTTTTGAGTTCGTGCCTGCACCTCACAAGGGCATGAACACATCTGGTCTTCACCGTGTTGAGAATGAACCAGGAGAGGAACCCAGGCCACGAGTCCATGTTCTGAGTCAGAAGATGTCTTGTCACAGAGTTCCCAGCGTGGCTGTGTCTCTGTGTCCTCTTACACTTGCGTTGTTCCTGTTTTTCCACAGCCTCTCTAACTCTCGGTTCTAGCCTAATTTAACTTCACCATACTGGTGGGTGTTATTTAGTGGCATTTAACTGCTCTTTGATTGACATTTCCTTTATAAGTTATGATGATGTGGGTTTTTTTGTTCTGGTTTTTTTTTTTTGCATTTGATCACCATTTGAAAGATCGAAGTCCCTGGTCATCTTTTGTATGTTTTGTCAACTTTATTAAGCTTCCCTTGCTAAATAAAATTGTATATATTTAAAATACACCACACAGTATTTTGATGCATTTGCACATTGTGAAAAATTATCACAATGAAGATAAGTAATATATTCACCACCTCAAATGGGGGTTTGTGTGTGAGTTGAGAATATTCAAAATCATTGCTTCTCGGTCTTTGGCTAAGATTAAGTGAAGAATATTCAAAATCAATACTCCTGGCTAATTTCTTGTATACGGAATAGCATTATTAACTGTTATCACCATGTTGTACACTATCCCTTCAGGACTTCCTCATCTAGTAGTATGACTGAATATTCATACTCATTGACGGACATTTTCCCAGTTCCTACATTTTATTCTCTGCTTTTGTCATCGGGATGTTTTCCAATAATGTGTATGGCTCATGCCTTAGTTTTCTTCATGTGTCTGGCTTGTTTTGCTTAGCATGCCTTCTAGATTCATCTACCAAATGGCGATATTTCCTTCTTTTGTGGGGCACCTAAATATTTGTCAACTATGCATATGCAACTATGTGTGTATACACATCTTTATCCATTTATCCAGTAACAAAAATGTTAGTTGTTTCCATATCTTCAATATTGTGACTATGATAGTATAGTTATCTGGTAGAATGATTTCATTTCTTTATGCATGCATCCAAGATTCCAGGGCCATAGGATAGTTCTGTTTTTAAGTTTTTGTGTGAAAATTCAAGCAGGAACTGAAGTAGAAAACATGGAGGAACATGGCTTACTTGCTTTGTCCAGTGACACATGCTCAGCTAGCTTGTTTCCTTCTTACCTTCCCTTTTTCCCTTTTTCTCTTACTTTTTCTTTCTTTTTTTGTTTTGTTTTGTTTTCTGAGACAAGGTTTCTCTGTGTAGCCCTGGCTGTCCTGGAACTCGCTCTGTACACCAGGCTGGTCTTGAACTCACGCAGATCAACCTGCCTCTGCCTCTCAAGTGATGGGATTAAAGGCATGCTCCATCACCACCCGGGTCAGCTAGCTTTCTTACACAGGCCATGCCTACTTCTTAGTAGATGGTGCTTCCCACAGTGGACTAGGACTTCCCACATCACTAATCAAAATGGTGTCTTGCAGACCGCAGGTCAAATGTGATCTAGATACTTCCTCAAAAAAAAAAACCTCTCTTCTTCCCAGGCGACTCTAGCTTTTGTCAAATTGAGAAAACAAACATGAGGCAGCTTAGTGTTATATATTTCAAAACATTGCTAATATTTCTGTTAAGAATCTCCCATTTTTCTTTCTCTCTCATTCGTGTTTCTTGTAACTTTGCAGCTTCAAGTCTTGTTTTTAATTCTTTGTTCCATTTGAGTTGATTGCTGGGTATGGTATGAGATAAGAGTCTAGTTTTTAACCTGTTTATGGATTGTTTTCCTATAAACATTTCTCAAAGAAACTTTTACCCAATGTGTATTCTTGGTACTCTTGTCAAAGATCAATTGACCATATAAGCTGTGTGTCCTGTGTTCTAATTCTGAGTGTATTCTCTGTTCCATTTGTTCATCGTGTTCTTGGTGCTCTTGTCAAAAATCAATTGGCCATGTAAGCCATGTGTCTTCTGTTCTAATTATGAGTGTATGCTCTGTTCCATTTGTGCATCGTGTTCTTGGTACTCTTGTCAAAGATCAATTGACCTTATAAGCCATGTGTCCTCTACCCTAGTTCTGAGCATCTGTTCTGTTTCATTAT